CCCTACCCAGGCCACGTCTGTCGTGATCATGAAACAATAAAACAAGGAAAACTGAATCACTCAACACTTCTGCCCTCATCCTTACTTGGAGTTCCATCTCCTGATTGCGCCCGCCCGCCCGCCCGCCCACCCCATCCAAAACGAGTTCGCGGACAATGGGCACTCACCCATCACCACCCCATCACCATTACCGCCATCGTCATCCCCATTACCACCACCTCCATGCACTTGGCCCTTCGCTCTTTGTTATGGAGCAGGCACGGTCCCTAAACCCGCGCCCCCATTGTTCCACCGTCGCGGTAAATCTCGCGAGACGAGGGGGACAAGGGACCCCCGGTGCGCGGCCGAGAGGGGGCCCCTTGGGGAGGGGGTCCCCGCCACCCCCCTCCTCCCCCAGGGCTTCCGAGGGGTGCCCCGGTATCCGAGAACCCAACCTACCTCCTCCTCCGCAGCAGCAGCGGCGGCGGCGCCGGCGGCCGAGGCTCGCAACTTGAGGCGTTCCATGGGGTGGAGAAAGCCGCCGCCGCCGCGTCCCCTCGTCCCTCTGCCGCTCTCCCCGTCCCCTCCTCGCTCCTCCTTCTCTTCCCGCTCTCCTCCCCCTCTCAGCTCTCGGCCGGGCCGCCTCGGCCCCACCTCGCCGGCCTCATCCCTAAGCCTCGCCGCGGCCACAGCAAGCGGCCAAAGTTTATGCGAGCGGCTGCGGCGGCTGCGGCGGCGAGAAAAGTGTGCGCGAGCCGCGACCGCCAACTTGTGTGAGACGTGGCGCCATGTTTTAGCCGCGGCCTCGGCGCCCGGAGCCGAGCGCCACCCGCCGGGAGGAATGGGCGCCGCGGCCCCGGGGCTACGGGGCCCGGCCCACCACCTCCAGCAGCACCACCACACCCCCCGTGCTCCCTGCCCGAGGAGCACGGGGACCGTTACCCGGCAGCGTGGGGGGTGGGACCGCGATAACCCAGAGCCGGGACTTGCTGTCGGCGGGGGTCGTTATTCCCCAACTGGGATCTGAGAAGCACCGTTCGGCATTCGCAACGTTGAACCAGGACCCCATCATTTGACAGAGAGAGAGAGAAGGGGGAGAGGTCTCGTGCCAAAAAACATCCAAGTTCACCAGAATTGATTCAAGCGATGCCTGGCTCTGCTGGTGAGACTGAACGTCAAAACCGGTTCAGGAGTTTGCTTGTGCTGAATCAATACTGCTGAAGTTATGCACTCCCAGAACGGCCCTTGGGATTATGAGTTGTGTTAGAATTATTTTTATATTTGTTTTTGAATGTGGTGGGTACGCGGTGTGTATGCTGATCTATCGTGTTATACCTCGAGAGGGCCTTCAGATTGATCCGAGTGGGTTAAACCGTGAGGGGAACATTGTTGGGCCCTCCTGGGACGTTATTCTCCCATTGGAACCTTCAGGGGCCCGTTAAGTCCTGAGCGAGTCGCCCTTGTATGAGGAGGGCCCATGAGGACCTCCTCTATGGCGTGATGAGAATGGCAGTCAGGTCGAAAGGGCGATGAGAGGTGCTCTTGTGACATGTGTCACCTGTGTCGGGTGTCAGGTGAGGATGTCATGCTAGGGTGAGGTGAAAACTATGGTGAGGTGGACGCTAGGGTGAGGTGGATGCGAGGGTGAGGTGGATGCGAGGGTGAGGTGGACGCTAGGGTGAGGCGAATGCGAGGGTGAGGTGGACGCTGGGGTGAGGTGGTTGCTTGGGTGAGGTGGACGCGAGGGTGAGGTGGACGCTGGGGTGAGGTGGATGCTAGGGTGAGGTGGACGCTGGGGTGAGGTGGATGCTAGGGTGAGGTGGACGCTAGGGTGAGGTGAATGCGAGGGTGAGGTGAATGCGAGGGTGAGGTGGACGCGAGGGTGAGGTGGACGCTAGGGTGAGGTGAATGCGAGGGTGAGGTGGATGCGAGGGTGAGGTGGACGTTAGGGTGAGGTGGACGCTAGGGTGAGGTGGATGCGAGGGTGAGGTGGACGCGAGGGTGAGGTGGACGCTAGGGTGAGGTGAATGCGAGGGTGAGGTGGATGCGAGGGTGAGGTGGACGTTAGGGTGAGGTGGACGCTAGGGTGAGGTGGATGCGAGGGTGAGGTGGACGCGAGGGTGAGGTGGATGCGATGGTGAGGTGGACGCTAGGGTGAGGTGGACGCTAGGGTGAGGTGAATGCGAGGGTGAGGTGAATGCGAGGGTGATGTGGACGCGAGGGTGAGGTGGACGCTAGGGTGAGGTGAATGCGAGGGTGAGGTGGACGCGAGGGTGAGGTGGATGCGAGGGTGAGGTGGACGCTGGGGTGAGGTGGATGCTAGGGTGAGGTGGACGCTGGGGTGAGGTGGATGCTAGGGTGAGGTGGACGCTAGGGTGAGGCGAATGCGAGGGTGAGGTGGACGCTGGGGTGAGGTGGTTGCTTGGGTGAGGTGGACGCGAGGTGGACGCTGGGGTGAGGTGGATGCTAGGGTGAGGTGGACGCTGGGGTGAGGTGGATGCTAGGGTGAGGTGGACGCTAGGGTGAGGTGAATGCGAGGGTGAGGTGAATGCGAGGGTGAGGTGGACGCGAGGGTGAGGTGGACGCTAGGGTGAGGTGAATGCGAGGGTGAGGTGGATGCGAGGGTGAGGTGGACGTTAGGGTGAGGTGGACGCTAGGGTGAGGTGGATGCGAGGGTGAGGTGGACGCGAGGGTGAGGTGGACGCTAGGGTGAGGTGAATGCGAGGGTGAGGTGGATGCGAGGGTGAAGTGGACGTTAGGGTGAGGTGGACGCTAGGGTGAGGTGGATGCGAGGGTGAGGTGGACGCGAGGGTGAGGTGGACGCTAGGGTGAGGTGGATGCGAGGGTGAGGTGGATGCGAGGGTGAGGTGGACGCTAGGGTGAGGTGGACGCTAGGGTGAGGTGGATGCGAGGGTGAGGTGGACGTTAGGGTGAGGTGGACGCTAGGGTGAGGCGGACGCGAGGGTGAGGTGGATGCGAGGGTGAGGTGGACGCGAGGGTGAGGTGGATGCGAGGGTGAGGTGGACGCTAGGGTGAGGTGGATGCGAGGGTGAGGTGGATGCGAGGGTGAGGTGGATGCGATGGTGAGGTGGACGCTAGGGTGAGGTGGACGCTAGGGTGAGGCGGACGCGAGGGTGAGGTGGATGCGAGGGTGAGGTGGACGCGAGGGTGAGGTGGACGCTAGGGTGAGGTGGATGCTAGGGTGAGGTGGACGCTAGGGTGAGGTGGATGCGAGGGTGAGGTGGATGCGATGGTGAGGTGGACGCTAGGGTGAGGTGGATGCTAGGGTGAGGTGGATGCGAGGGTGAGGTGGATGCGATGGTGAGGTGGACGCTAGGGTGAGGTGGACGCTAGGGTGAGGCGGACGCGAGGGTGAGGTGGATGCGAGGGTGAGGTGGACGCGAGGGTGAGGTGGACGCTAGGGTGAGGTGGATGCTAGGGTGAGGTGGACGCTAGGGTGAGGTGGACGCTAGGGTGAGGTGAATGCTAGGGTGAGGTGGATGCGAGGGTGAGGTGGACGCGAGGGTGAGGTGGATGCTAGGGTGAGATGGATACGAGGGTGAGGTGGATGCGAGGGTGAGGTGGACGCGAGGGTGAGGTGGATGCGAGGGTGAGGTGGATGCGAGGGTGAGGTGGACGCGAGGGTGAGGTGTGTCTGGCGAGGATCAGGTGAGGCTGGTTGAGGTGCTGCTTGAGGAAGCCTCCTCCTCCATCACACTCCTCTAGTGACGCGTCTCTCTTAGCCTGGACTGATGTCAGTGACGAACTCAGTGGAGATGCCACTCAATGTGTCTCATGCCTCGAGTGCAGCACGACACGGGGACACGGGCGGCATATTAAATAAATCTTTATGAATAACACTCCTATGGAGGTCAAGTCACAACCCCTGACCCCGCCACTCACCGCACGCAAACACTTTGATTTTTTTTCCCAAGCCGCGAGGCTCGGGTCGACTCTCCCCCCACTCGATGTCCTCGTCGCTTTCGAGAGCAATGCTCCGATACCCTCAGGGGCATAAGAGAAGCGCTTAGAGAAGGTGGGTCTCAACCTCAAAATTAACTCGGGGTCACGCCGGTGATGAAGGCAACCGTCGCCATAGGCCTGTCGTTGATCAAAAAAATGCAGGACATCTCTCTAAATTCGGGCCACGGAACTGCTTAGGTTCCATTGTGCATTGCGATCGACCTTGGGTGGACACGCCAACCCTTTATGGATACGTTGACCTGACCTCTCCAGAAGACTATATCTACCTTTGTGATGGCAGGGAAATCAACTCTGGATGGTCTGGTGGCGGGGGCCTGCGTGCCAGCTTTGTGTATCGCTACCGCCCTCTGCTGGAGTCTGGAGGAGTCTGGAGTCTGGCGTCCACGTCGAGCTCCCAATGATGGGACCAGGGATGAGAAGTTTTGAGATGAAGTCCCAGAGTGGATATCCAAGACTATGGCCGTTGTCATAAATACACTCGACTCACCCCAGCCTCCTCCACATTGTAGAGCGAGTGTCCCCACCAAGACGAGTGGTGCAGTCAAAACACTCATCAGCTTCGTCCTGGTTTGTGATTCACTTGAGCAAGATTAGCGTGGCTTCACGGTCAATTGCGGTGATGCCACCACACCTCACCATCGCTCACTTCCTTGCACTAGATACTACAGTTGCTGCAACCACCAAGGTCAGCTCTTGCTGTACACAGTTAAGTTGTTTCAAAGACTGCTCAATCTCATCACTACCTGCATTTGGTTTGAGTTCTTCTGTGCCTGTTATCGGCCTCTGTGCTCCACCTATTCATGTACAACATCATCATCTAATACTTCATCGATTAAACCGATTCGTAAGCTCGCGGTGCAATATCGAATCGACAACGTATTTAACAGCCGTGAAAAGTGATACCTATGCAAATGCCTCATTTGCTCGACAGAAATATAGAAAATAACACAAACTATGCGTCAACGAACACGAGACGGAAACACGTGAGGTGGGATCGGACAGAGAATGGTTGCGTGCCTAGTGTAGAGGGTGGGCGGCTAGGGAGCTGAGGGGCTGTAAGCCTGGAGCCCCCACATCGATGCTGCTGAGGTAACATCCTCCAATGTCAGCTGGAAGTCATGAGGAGTTTCCCCCTGGGGCTTTTCACGCTCCGGTCCTCGAGCCTCCTCTCGGCCTCCCTTACAAATGTCGCGCGGGGAACACCAAACATCACGCGGCACGATTCGCTCATTGGATTTTTGGTTTAGGCCACGCAATGACCTTGTGTCGTGAGCCCTCCTCCACCCGACACAGCCAAACTATGACATTGTCACGTGTACACGCGCTTTAACGCACTGGGTCGGGTGATGGAGAGTTCACGACGGGAATATGGTGAGGTCGTTATGAGGCGTTAGCGGGAAAATCAACCATGATTCGTAATATTGGCTGTGAACCAACGTGTTAAACCACACATCATACACCCTCAGCCAAGACTCCACACACCCTTCTGGGTGATGGGCCATGGGTCTCGATGGTCACAGGCCCTGGGCCCCTTGACACTGTCCCAATGTTTCAACTTCCGCACCGGGAGATCGGAGCGGCGACATGTGAACTGCAAGTTCCGCACGACGCCACAGCACACATTACACCGTGTATATACCGTATTACGTTGACAATGCCGTTGTGCGTGTATATATATATGCGCGTGTAGCTCAACTGGAAAGTAAAAGGAGGGAGCTCTAATTCCTACGCGGAGGGAATGTGAATAAGTGCTCCTGCAGCGTTGAGGAGCCACCGATCCGGGAGGCGACCGCCCGGTCCAGACGCCGCCACCGCTCGCAAGCGCAGCACCAGCTCCTCGCCCCGTGAGACGCTCGCCTGGTGGCGAGGGGCACTCAAAGGTGCCAGGTGAAGGACGCTTGAAAGACTGATAAATGACCGGTGAACAACAGCGAATGAAATGAGGTTAATGATTGGTGGTGGTGGTGGTGATGGTGTCTACAGTGATTATGATGGTCGTGATGACATTGATAATGGTGGTGGTGGTGGTGATGGTGTCGACAGTGATTATAATGGTAATGATGGTCGTGATGACATTGATAATGGTGTTGGTGATGGTGATGACAATGATTATGATGGTCGTGATGACATTGATAATGGTGGTGGTGGTGATGGTGTCGACAGTGATTATAATGGTAATGATGGTCGTGATGACATTGATAATGGTGGTGGTGATTGTCGGCAATCACGCGTGAGAATCATCCGACCCTTTGGTCCCATGCCATGAGGGGATCTCTGTGAGGGGGACCGGGGACCCCGAGTCCGGGGCCATGAGTCTCTGCTTCTTCTTGAGTCCACGGCTGAAGGAGAACAGGTACAAAGGGAGGCAGAAGCCCAGCAGGGACAGCACCAGCAACCCCACGTTCACCTGCGCGGCAAGGAGGGGTGCGGGGTGAGCGTGACGGTCAGCTGGCTTGAAGGGGCGAGGTGGCACCCAGATAGAGGGAGGCATGTTAGTGAGTGTGGGGTGAATGGACTGAGAAACTGGGATAGAGGGAGGCATGTTAGTGAGTGTGGGGTGAATGATGGACTGAGAAACTGGGATAGAGGGAGGCATGCTAGTGAGTGTGGAGTAAATGATGGACTGAGAAACTGGGATAGAGGGAGGCATGCTAGTGAGTGTGGAGTGAATGATGGACTGAGAAACCGGGATAGAGGGAGGCATGTTAGTGAGTGTGGGGTGAATGATGGACTGAGAAACCGGGATAGAGGGAGGCATGTTAGTGAGTGTGGGGTGAATGATGGACTGAGAAACTGGGATAGAAGGAGGCATGTTAGTGAGTGTGGGGTGAATGATGGACTGAGAAACTGGGATAGAGGGAGGCATGTTAGTGAGTGTGGGGTGAATGATGGACTGAGAAACTGGGATAAAGGGAGGCATGTCAGTGAGTGTGGGGTGAATGATGGACTGAGAAACTGGGATAGAGGGAGGCATGTTAGTGAGTGTGGGGTGAATGATGGACTGAGAAACTGGGATAGAGGGAGGCATGTTAGTGAGTGTGGGGTGAATGATGGACTGAGAAACTGGGATAGAGGGAGGCATGCTAGTGAGTGTGGGGTGAATGATGGACTGAGAAACTGGGATAGAGGGAGGCATGCTAGTGAGTGTGGGGTGAATGATGGACTGAGAAACTGGGATAGAGGGAGGCATGCTAGTGAGTGTGGGGTGAATGATGGACTGAGAAACAGCACTTGCCCCTACAGTCTGGTTAAGGCTATACGGCGGATCATTGGGGTGAATTTGGGGTGAGTGCGTGTGGGGTGAGTGAGTGTGGGGTGAGTGAGTGTGTGGTGTGTGGTGAGTGAGTGTAGTGATGAGTGTGTGGTGAGTGTAGTGGTGGGTATGGTGTGAGTGTGTTTGAGTGATGGGTGAGTGACTGTGTGATGAGTGAGTGCGTGGTGAATGTGTAGTGGTGAGTGTGTGGTGGTGAGTGTGTGGTGAGTGTGTGGTGAGTGTGTGTGTGTATGGTGAGTGTGTGGTGAGTGAGTGTAGTGGTGAGTGTGTGGTGAGTGAGTGTAGTGGGGGGTGAGTGTAGTGGTGAGTGTGTGGTGGTGAGTGTGTGGTGGTGAGTGTGTGGCAAGTGAGTGTAGTGGTGAGCGTGTGTTGAGTGAGTGTAGTGGTGAGTGTGTGGTGTTGAGTTTTAGTGGGGAATGTGTGTTGAGTGAGTGTATGTGGTGAGTGTGTGGCGCGTGTGTGGTGGTGAGTGTGTGGCGAGTGTGTGGTGGTGAGTGTGTGGTGAGTGTGTGGTGAGTGTGTGGTGGTGAGTGTGTGGTGGTGAGTGTGTGGTGAGTGTTTGGTGGTGAGTGTGTGGCGAGTGTGTGGTGGTGAGTGTGTGGTGAGTGTGTGGTGAGTGTGTGTGTGTGGTGAGTGTGTGGTAAGTGAGTGTAGTGGTGAGTGTGTGGCGAGTGTGTGGTGAGTTTTAGTGGCGAGTGTGTGGTGAGTGAATGTAAGTGGTGAGTGTGTGGCGAGTGTGTGGTGGTGAGTGTGTGGCGAGTGTGTGGTGGTGAGTGTGTGGTGAGTGTGGTGGTGAGTGTGTGGTGAGTGTGTGGTGGTGAGTGTGTGTGTGTGGTGAGTGTGTGGTAAGTGAGTGTAGTGGTGAGTATGTGGTGAGTGTGTGGCGAGTGTGTGGTGAGTTTTAGTGGCGAGTGTGTGGTGAGTTTTAGTGGGGAATGTGTGTTGAGTGAGTGTAGTGGTGAGTGTGTGGTGAGTGTGTGGTCGTGAGTGTGTGGCGACTGTGTGGTGGTGTGTGGTGAGTGTGTGGTGGTGAGTGTGTGGTGAGTGTGTGGTGGTGAGTGTGTGGTGAGTGAGTGTAGTGGTGAGTGTGTGGTGAGTGTGTGGCGAGTGTGTGGTGGTGAGTGTGTGGTGAGTTTTAGTGGTGAGTGTGTGGTGAGTGTGTAGTGGTGAGTGTGTGGTGAGTGTGTGGTGGTGAGTGTGTGGTGGTGAGTGTGTGGTGAGTGTTTGGTGGTGAGTGTGTGGCGAGTGTGTGGTGAGTTTTAGTGGCGAGTGTGTGGTGAGTGAATGTAAGCGGTGAGTGTGTGGCGAGTGTGTGGTGGTGAGTGTGTGGCGAGTGTGTGGTGGTGAGTGTGTGGCGAGTGTGTGGTGAGTTTTAGTGGCGAGTGTGTGGTGAGTTTTAGTGGGGAATGTGTGTTGAGTGAGTGTAGTGGTGAGTGTGTGGTGAGTGTGTGGTGGTGAGTGTGTGGTGAGTGTGTGGTGAGTGTGTGTGTGTGGTGAGTGTGTGGTAAGTGAGTGTAGTGGTGAGTATGTGGTGAGTGTGTGGCGAGTGTTTGGTGAGTTTTAGTGGCGAGTGTGTGGTGAGTGAATGTAAGTGGTGAGTGTGTGGCGAGTGTGTGGTGGTGAGTGTGTGGCGAGTGTGTGGTGGTGAGTGTGTGGCGAGTGTGTGGTGAGTTTTAGTGGCGAGTGTGTGGTGAGTTTTAGTGGGGAATGTGTGTTGAGTGAGTGTAGTGGTGAGTGTGTGGTGAGTGTGTGGTGGTGAGTGTGTGGTGAGTGTGTGGTGAGTGTGTGTGTGTGGTGAGTGTGTGGTAAGTGAGTGTAGTGGTGAGTATGTGGTGAGTGTGTGGCGAGTGTGTGGTGAGTTTTAGTGGCGAGTGTGTGGTGAGTGAATGTAAGTGGTGAGTGTGTGGCGAGTGTGTGGTGGTGAGTGTGTGGCGAGTGTGTGGTGGTGAGTGTGTGGCGAGTGTGTGGTGAGTTTTAGTGGCGAGTGTGTGGTGAGTTTTAGTGGGGAATGTGTGTTGAGTGAGTGTAGTGGTGAGTGTGTGGTGAGTGTGTGGTCGTGAGTGTGTGGCGACTGTGTGGTGGTGTGTGGTGAGTGTGTGGTGGTGAGTGTGTGGTGAGTGTGTGGTGGTGAGTGTGTGGTGAGTGAGTGTAGTGGTGAGTGTGTGGTGAGTGTGTGGCGAGTGTGTGGTGGTGAGTGTGTGGTGAGTTTTAGTGGTGAGTGTGTGGTGAGTGTGTAGTGGTGAGTGTGTGGTGAGTGTGTTGTGTGAGGTGAGTGTGTGGTGGTGAGTGTGTGGTGAGTGTGTGGTGGTGAGTGTGTGGTGAGTGAGTGTAGTGGTGAGTGTGTGGCGAGTGTGTGGTGATGAGTGTGTGGTGAGTGTGTGGTGGTGAGTGTGTGGTGAGTGAGTGTAGTGGTGAGTGTGTGGCGAGTGTGTGGCGAGTGTGTGGTGGTGAGTGTGTGGTGAGTTTTAGTGGTGAGTGTGTGGTGAGTGTGTAGTGGTGAGTCTGTGGCTAGTGTGTGGTGGTGAGTGTGTGGTGTGTGGTGAGTGTGTGGTGGTGAGTGTGTGGTGAGTGTGTGGTGGTGAGTGTGTGGTGAGTGAGTGAGTGTAGTGGTGAGTGTGTGGCGAGTGTGTGGTGGTGAGTGTGTGGTGGTGAGTGTGTGGTGGTGAATGTGGTGGTGAGTGTAGTGGTGAGTGTAGTGGTGAGTGTGTGGTGAGTGTGTGGTGGTGAGTGTGTGGTGAGTGTGTGGTGAGTGTGTGGTGGTGAGTGTATGGTAGCGAGTGTGTGGTGGCGAGTGTGTGGTGAGTGTGTGGTGGTGAGTGTGTGGTGAGTGTGTGGTGAGTGTGTGGTGGTGAGTGTGTGGTGGTGAGTGTGTGGTGGTGAGTGTGTGGTGGTGAGTGCGTGGTGGTGAGTGCGTGGTGGTGAGTGTGTGGTGGTGAGTGTGTGGTGGTGAGTGTGTGGTGGTGAGTGTGTGGTGTGTGGTGGTGAGTGTGTGGTGGTGAGTGTGTGGTGGTGAGTGTGTGGTGGTGAGTGTGTGGTGGTGAGTGTGTGGTGAGTGTGTGGTGGTGAGTGTGTGGTGAGTGTGTGGTGGTGAGTGTGTGGTGAGTGTGTGGTGGTGAGTGTGTGGCGAGTGTGTGGTGGAGAGTGTGTGGTGAGTGTGTGGTGGTGAGTGTGTGGTGGTGAGTGTGTGGTGAGTGTGTGGTGGTGAGTGTGTGGTGGCGAGTGTGTGGTGAGTGTGTGGTGAATGTGGTGGTGAGTGTGTGGTGAGTGTGTGGTGGTGAGTGTCTGGTGAGTGTGTGGTGAATGTGGTGGTGAGTGTGTGGTGAGTGTGTGGTGGTGAGTGTGTGGTGAGTGTGTGGTGGTATGTGTGTGGTGAGTGTGTGGTGGAGAGTGTGTAGTGAGTGTGTGGTGGTGAGTGTGTGATGGTGAGTGTGTGGTGAGGGTGTGGTGGTGAGTGTGTGGTGGCGAGTGTGTGGTGAGTGTGTGGTGAATGTGGTGGTGAGTATGTGGTGAGTATGTGGTGGTGCGTGTGTGGTGGTGAGTGTGTGGTGAGTGTGTGGTGGTGAGTGTGTGGTGGTGAGTGTGTGGTGGCGAGTGTGTGGTGAGTGTGTGGTGAATGTGGTGGTGAGTGTGTGGTGAGTGTGTGGTGGTGAGTGTGTGGTGGTGAGTGTGTGGTGAGTGTGTGGTGGTGAGTGTGTGGTGAGTGTGTGGTGATTGTGTGGCGGTGAGTGTGTGGTGGTGTGTGGTGGTGAGTGTGTGGTGGTGAGTCTGTGGCGGTGAGTGTGTGGTGGCGAGTGTGTGGTAAGTGTGTGGTGGTGAATGTGTGCTGGTGAGTGTGTGGTGGTGAGTGTGTGGTGAGGGTGTGGTGGTGAGTGTGTGGTGAGTGTGTGGTGGCGAGTTCGTGGTGAGTGTGTGGTGGTGAGTGTGTGGTGGTGAGTGTGTGGTGAGTGTGTGGTGGTGAGTATGTGGTGGTGAGTGTGTGGTGAGTGTGTGGTGGTGAGTGTGTGGTGGTGAGTGTGTGGTGAGTGTGTGGTGGTGAGTGTGTGGTGGTGAGTGTGTGGTGAGTGTTTGGTGGTGAGTGTGTGGCGAGTGTGTGGTGGTGAGTGTGTGGTGAGTGTGTGGTGAGTGTGTGTGTG